TTTGCCGATCGACCCTCATTTCGTGCGAAAGCATTACTCCAGGACAAGTCAAATCGCAATTTTCCCTCAGTTTTTGCCGATCGACCCTCATTTCGCGCGAAAGGGTTGCTCCAGGGCAAGTCAAATCGCAATTTTCCCTCTGTTTTTGCCGATCGACCCTCATTTCGTGCGAAAGGGTTGCTCCGGGACAAGTCAAATCGCAATTTTCCCTCAGTTTTTGCCGATCGACCCTCATTTCGTGCGAAAGGGTTGCTCCGGGGCAAGTCAAATCGCAATTTTACCTCAGGTTTTGCCGATCGACCCTCATTTCCTGCGAAAGGGTTCTCGTTTGCACTGCCCCTGCCTCCGCCTTCAGAAGAGAAATAGAAAAGAAGGAGAGAGCAAGAGGGCAAGAGGGCAAGAGGGTAAGAGGAGAAGATGTGAAGATGTGAGGACGTGAAGATGAGAAGATGAGAAGATGTGAGAAGATGTGAGAAGATGTGAGAAGATGTGAAGATGAGAAGATGAGGAGAAGATGGGAGGATGAGAAGATGTGAAGATGAGAAGATGTGAAGATGTGAAGATGAGAAGAAGTGAAGATGAGAAGATGTGAAGATGAGAAGATGTGTGAAGATGTGAGAAGATGTGAGAAGATGTGAAGATGAGAAGATGAGGAGAAGATGGGAGGATGAGAAGATGTGAAGATGAGAAGATGGGAAGATGTGAAGATGAGAAGATGTGAAGATGAGAGGATGTGAAGATGAGAGGATGTGAAGATGAGAAGATGTGAAGATGAGAGGATGTGAAGATGAGAAGATGTGAAGATGAGAAGATGTGAAGATGAGAGGATGTGAAGATGAGAAGATGTGAGAGGATGTGAAGATGAGAAGATGTGAAGATGAGAGGATGTGAAGATGAGAAGATGTGAAGATGAGAAGATGTGAAGATGAGAGGATGTGAAGATTAGAAGATGTTTTACAGACCCCCACTATTGGAAGAACCTGCGCTCAGACGCTCTCGGGAAAAAAAACATGAAATGCCATAAACACCGGAGGGCATCATGGCTTCTTGTGCTGAGATTGGCACGACAGGCAGGAATCGTGCATCGTGAGCTGTTCCAAGCTTTGGTCTGGGATCGAAGTGAGAACCTGTGGGGTCTGGGACCTGTGGTTCATAAATGGAGATATCCATAAATGGGGATACCCCAAAATTGAATAAAATTGATAGTTTATAGTGCAGAATCCTATGAAAATGGATGATTTAGGGGTACCCCTCATTTATGGAAACCCTCAAATCAACCATAAATGTTCGAAATCCCAAAAAAACGGGGTATATCCTATGTAATATTGTTATAGTTCACTTACATCGAAGGATGGATTTACCGTGCCCAAACCTAATAGTTTGACCCTGAAAAGTCAGTTTTTAGATTCTATATAGTAGAAACTTGTTATCCAACCCCCTATTTGGCAGTACATGTTTAATTGGAGAGATGTTACAAACAAATACAAATGTCACTGACTTGTACACATAGATGTCGCCTTTCACATAGGGAGCTTTTCTCGACTGCCATAGTCCGGATATGTTCGGATTGATAGATAGCGAGATTTTCTGTGTTTGAATTGTTGGCTGTCATAGCTCAGGTGAGATAATGAAGAGAATGCCCAAATCAGCCATGAGCCCATAACAATGGTGCGTTTAATTTTGTGTTTAAACATGTGTCTTTATAGTAAGCCATGAGCCGAGAATACCCCATCCTTAGTTCACCAATGAGATGGATAGTTTACCGCAGCAACGAAAGGCGACCCATTTCGGCGGGGAGCATGGTTTAGTCAGATGGATCCATGGTGAATTTAAGGTCACATAGATATTTGGTGAATACCTGACATTAAAATTACTGGAGATTCAAATTTGATTGTTTTCATTCACTTCAGCGTTGAACGTCTAGACTGACATAGACCCATTTTGAGTCCATGCTATCAATCATGGGGAAGAGGTCCCCATTACCCATTGGTTAATGTTGGTTCATGTTGCCCCATACCGGGCATCCCCTTCATTCCCACCAGGCCGAGCGTGGGGCGAAAGCCATGGCGGACTTTCAACCGAAGGTGAGAAGGGACTGAAACATGGGAAGGTCGGCAATGGGCACATTAGGACAGCATGGAACAATGTACGTAGAAGAACATGCGATAACATGCATAACATGCGTATAATATATAGACTGACGTAACATTATATAATAATATATATATATACACAAACATCTTGATTTTTGCCTATGAAACATGTACAGTAGAGACATCTACCCTCCAATCAAACATGACTAGCTGGGAAATCCCGGCACTAAATGGAGGTCTTAATGGGAAAATCATCGAAGTAAAATTGGGACCCCCCAAATCCCATGGTTTATCATCACTGTCTGGCAAAATGCCACAACCTGGGGAAACACAACAATTTATATCCATACTAGTATGGTATGCTACTATGGTTGTATAATACCCTCAGTTGGATACTCAGCTATATCACTGGTTCTATGACTATATAATATATATATATATAAACATATAAGATTATATATATATACATATACAGTAAGTTGTTCCACTGTATCTTGCATTTTATTCATAATTTATATTCACAGCTAATCCTTAATATTAAACCACACCCTAAATAATGAAATATAATGAAACCTATAGGGGTAGTTATTGTTGGGTGCAAGTGGCTCTATGACTAATTGGTTCTATAAATAAAATGGTTGTAAAACTAATTGGTTCTATTAGTTCTTGTATATCAGTTATTAGATGTATCCACAACTATTTCAGCTTCTCTTTCACTATAGCTTCACTGGATTGGAAGGGAATATATATATATACCGGAAAACAAGGGGTTTTCCCATCAAAATTGTGGGGTTTTCCCATCAAAATTGAGGCCTTTCCATGGCTTTCCTGTCATGTTTCCCTTAAACCAATCCTTTCCCCATCAAATTGGCGAGGTTTCCCGTGGTTTTTCCCACAGCTTTAGCGCGTCCAGGTCTTGTCCGACGCCCGCGAGCCCTGCTTTTGGTCCTTCCATCGGGCCAGTGCTAGCGCCTGGTCCTCCAGAGGTGACGGGGGGGCCTGGGCGGCCGGCCTGCACAAATCGTCGGATAAAGCACCTATCAACTGGTGGATTTCCCAACCATCCACAGTAGCTATGGAAAATTAATGTTTTGAATAGGTAAATCAGGGTAGAGGGTCGTAAATCTAGGTCGTAAATCTACTATAAATGGTCACTTTTCTGTAGCTATGCTGCATTATGCTAAACAACCAGATGGTACATAGGGAAAATGCATCGATAATTGGGGAAGATGGGGAAAATCAGCTATATCATATATGAAGTTTTATAGAAGTAAAAAACATTTTTCGTTTGGACAATCCAATAGAATTTCATCGATACTTGGGGAAGATTGAGAAAATCCAATGAAGTTTATATAGGGAAACTATCTATAATTGGGAAGAGTAATCATCTAGAATTGGCAGCATCGACTCTATAAATGAAGTTTATACAGGGAAAACATCATCAAACTATATATATATATATATACATACATAATCAAATGTGCATTTTCCATAGCCTGTTTGACTACCAGAGGGGATGCCAACAGGGAAGTCACCATATTGTGATGGTCAACGGTGAATGGAATGTTTGGGATCCTCAGAAATCCTCAGAACTTCAGATCTTGGGAACCGCGTTACTTGGTTGTGTATTCTTAGCATTAAACAAATTAAACGCCCCCATTCTATGGTCCCAAATATGTGATTTCATCCCAGAAAAGCCATGGTTTCTGGTGCCTTTGGGGCAAGGAATAGCACCTGGATTCCAGTGGAGAGCTTGCCAGGGCGAGAACGGCGAGAACGCAGACGCCAGGGCCTCCAGCACTGTGAGGGATCTAGAGGGGCCACAGTAAACTAGCATAGCTATGGAAAATGATCCATTTGTAGATGATTTCCCTCTTCAAAGTGGTGATGTTCAATAAATGATCCATTTATAATTGACCTCTTCAAAATGGTGATGTTCAATAATGATGCTCGTTTACCAAGGGGTTAACCATCAATACAGCCATAGTTCTCCATAGGGAATAATGTACACGGCCTGTGGACATCTCCCAGTTCGCTTTACTCCAAAGATTGATGACTCGCAACAGAGTGGCGGACCAAGTGCCGGAACAAAATTAATCTTGACATGGTGAGGTTGCAACTCCACCCCCAAAACCAAATCTCCTGCTGGAATGCCAACGGCAAACACAAAAGGTGATGTTGGCAGGTGACCCGTTGCAGCCAATTATGGCTCTATGAAGGCAGTTGTTGAGATGCGACTGATTTATCATACTTGGGTGATATCTGTTATTGGAAGATATATTATATTGTTAGTTGATAACTGTATATATCATAGTGATTGTTTGATAGTGGAAGATGAGGTTGATCCCCCATGATTGCGAAAATATGTCATCGTGGAGGAACTTCACATCCCATGATTTCGGGTACCTTATGATCACCACTTATATTTGATTATCCACAATCTTCTAAGTGAATATGTGTTGCCGATTGTGATGGATCATCTCCACCTGTTTCCGTGACTTTAGACTTCCAACCCCTCTATACTTTTTGGAAACTCAGAGCAGCCTTCCCATGAGGTTCGCAGCTTGGAGATATAATGGCTGAGGATAAAATGTAACCCTAGCAGAATAGTGACAATTGTTGTTTTTGTTTTTTCTATCTTTTGGGGTGAACTACAAAACGTTTGTGTGTTTCCATGATGATAATTGACGGTGATTTATCATAGTAGTTGATATCCTTGATTATAGGTTTAATATGTTTGGATATATCATTGATATCCCATGATCATCATTCCAATAAATGTACGACCATGAAAGGTGGCAAATTTTCACCGCTAAATCCATGGACCCTTTCCCGCGCCATGTCCCCGCTGCGCCGCCTGCTGCGCTCCGTGCGCGCGCTGGCGCGCCCGCCCTGGCGCCTGGCGGCGCTGCTGGGGCGCCCGCTGCGGCGCTTCCACCCCAAGCTGCAGAGGGTCGTGAGGATTCCCGGAGGCATCGGTCACCAGCTGAAACGTTTTTGGAGTTTTGACAGTCAGGGATGGTGGAGATCACCTGGAGATCAAAGGGATTGCGTTCAAACATGGTTTAAACAAAAACAGGGACTTAACCGACACAGTGTCGCGAAAGGAAAATAGCTGGGAACGAAAGCTTGCGAAAGAGCTCCACGAAAGAGTGTCAGAAGACTTGCGCCGCGAAAGCGCTGCGAAAGCATACTCCCTCACATAACAAGTTCTCCGCGAAAGGGCCGCGCAAGTATATAAAAACAAAATACAACAGAGATGTTCCCGCGAAAGCTAAAACTCTGGTGGCCAAAGCACCGCGAGAGCCACGCGAAAGTAATTCTATAGGTTAACCACTTGAGTTTTGAACACTGCTCATATAATAGAGAGATGTAATTGAGATATAATTGAGATATAATAGGGCCATAATTAGTCTATAATGATATGATATCAGAGACTAACCGGCCCTTAGCTGTTTTTTTTTCAATTGGTGGTGAAATTTTCCTCCCTATGAGCGATCCTGATTAGTCTGTTTACTTTCCTTTACTTACTCGCCCGCTGATACTGATGATACACGACAAGCGTTTCTTCTACCTTTTTTTATTCTTTGTTGTTGTATTATGTTATATATGATATTTTATGACAACTGATTGAGTCAATGGTTATTGTTTTGTTTTCTTAGTTTCGCAACATCGCCGACGATGATACCCGCCTGAAGCTTTGTTTGTGGATTGCCCAAGAAAGTTGTCCCCATCATCTCGGTTCGTGGGTTTGTTTGGATCCCTCAAAAGCTATGGTTGATCATCGTCTTCCGCGCCAAAATTGCATCAACTATATTCACATATGACAACTGGTTGGTGATTCGGAACATTTTTTATTTTTCCATTTATTGAGAATTATCATCCCAACTGACTTTCATATTTTGCAGAGGGGTAGGTATACCACCAACCAGAGAAATTGGGTGCCGCTGCCCATGACCTGTTTTTGGACAACACCATACAGGGTAAGTTTCATTGCGAGTTCAGTCTCCATGACCGGTGCTTCTATCCGCAGCCTTAGATCATCAATGGCTGGTCAAAATGACTAGTGACTAGGGGCATTGCAACTCCTTCCCCCAACTTTGAAATATCACCTAAATGAAAGCATGATTTTATATTGGATCTATTTCTTTTGGAATCCCATATGTAGCAGATGGCGGCTCTACTTGACATTATATACTATGCACTTGGCCAGTGTCCCCATTTCAGGATGGTTCAATTTTGCTTGTAGAACTCCAAGTTTTGGAGAGTCACATCATACGAAAATGGATTTCATTGTGACACACTGCCGCCCTTCAGTTTGTTTGACTATATAGGTCCATCGGCACTTGAGGGTTCAGTCCCACTTCGTATAGTAAGTGGTCATATATCCATAGTTTATCGGGTTCATATCCCAAGTGATGTGTTTTCTCTTAATGGCTATATACTGGGTCTATACCCAAATGGTTATATGTTGTTTGCTCAAAATTGAGGATTTTCACACAGCCCAATTGGTGTCCCTGCCACGGGCCAGGTCCCCATCCCTTCAGCGACGAGGCCATTTGGCACCTCAGCGGCCAGCGTGCCGAGTTCGCCGTGCCGCCCGTAGCGGGCACGGCGCGGGGCCTGTGTCCAGCGCTGGAGGTGGTGACGTCCTACGAGGTGCGGGGCGTTTCGGATTGGAATCCATAGGAATCCAACAGACCCCATGAGCATATCTTAATATATGGGGAAGATGGCTTGTGAAACAAGTCCTTTTGTTTTTCAACCGTTCGAATTTAGAGACAAGCGGAACGTGCTACAGAGAGGTATCTTCAATTCATGATCGAAGTTCTTGTGCATATTATGATTACATGGTTCCTGCCTTTTTGGCCCTCAATCGAAGCCCATTCGGATGAAACCATGCCGAAACATGTATAGATTGAACAGTCGATGTAGATTGGAAGACAGAAACATTACTTCAAGATCTAACGACGAACCATCGCATGTGGTCCAAAGTGCATATATTGATCCACCACGTTGATGTTGATATTCACTGCAGATAATACAAGCATATTCAACCCAAACATGGAATCAAGGCAAACTTAAAGTTGGTCATGTGTTAGCCTTTAGCCAACCATTTCTTGGATCACTTTGAAAACTACAAAGCAATCTTTTTCGCATGAGACAAGGATGATCTGGCAGAACTGCAGAGACGACTTGAGGCCGGCTGCCAGATGGAGATTTCTTCAAACCCCAAAATGGGCAAAAAAATTGGATAGAAATTGGTTATTGAACATCATCACTCTGGTTACATAGGGATTGTTTGTTCACTTTTTCGTTCTGGTGTTCTCTTCTCAATTCGCAATTTGGGATGGTCAAAATTGATAGACATATTTGGTTTGGAACGGGTTCAAACTGGTAACCAGTAGAAGAATATGCCACTCCATTCTTACAGACTTGGTTTGAGGCTGCTTTCTGTTGAATCTAGCAGCAGAATTGTTTCTATACGGGACCCAGTTGATCATTTGCAGTTGAAGCCAGAAATGGATTGTAAACAGCCGATTTGGATCCCGTTCCAAAAAAAGGTTGAGACAATACACCACTGGTCCTAAACAGAGGAATGCTCCAGATTCTACTCGTGAATTCTCGTCGCAGTTTCACAGAAGCACTTTAATGGACAAATGTCAGCAGAAAATAGACATCCCCTAATTTTTGGATAGCCAAACACATCAAAACGGTGGGTTCCTGAACATGAACAGGTTCCACTTCAATCCCCATGATTGTTGGTTGACAACGCTTTTCTTGTGGGGTAGATCACCGCACGTGACAAGTGCATTGTCAGCATTGGATGGAGCCAACATTGGAGCTGGATCCCGTATGTCTTGGGCTGAAACAAGCATGTTTCCCTGCAATATGTTCCTCTAAATTGTCCATATATGATTTATGCTCGTTCACATCTTGGGAATTAGTGATGATGAATGGTGAGTCATGGTAAGACTGACGGAGATACTACTACTGGAAAAAGGAGATTTACTAGGGATGAATCACTGAGATTATCTGTATAATTGCAGTGTGAGTCAAACGGACATGCCTAACTATTTAACTTAACAATTTGCCATGAGCAAGGTAGCGCTGAAATGAATTGCATCAGCCCTGCAGACTTGGAGATGGTGCACTTGGAAATGGCCAAACATACGGGTCCATGTTGGATTTCACGGTTGTATCCGTTTTTTGTTGCGAAAATCTTTCGGCTTGGGGGCATGGTGAGTATGCAATTTCTGACCATGTCCGGTGCACAACATGGCTATGTCGATCCATCCTCTACTGACAAAGGTGCAGCAGATGAAACTGATGAGGTCGATCTTCAGGTGCTGTGCTTGACTGGAGAAGGAGTGACATTAAGTGTCCCTCGCTCTATGCTTGGGTATGACCTGCGCAGACTGTTATCGGAGAAGCTTGCTTACAAGCCAGGCGCAAAGCTCGCCGTGCATCACATGAATCGAGAGCTGACGCTAGATAAAACCTTGGGAGAGCAAGGGATTGTTGAAAAATCGACCGTCCTGTCCAGCACTTACATGCCCACCAATTTGTACACAGCCTGGCGTTATCTCTTTGAGCTCCCGGAGCTCCCAACTTGTGAGAGAGAGTTTGTGCTGGAAGGTGTAACACAAATTGAGGGAGCAACGCGTGGACAGTATTTACATCTTCTCCCCTGCAGCCTTGCAACTTTGGCTTTTGGCCGTGAGTTCAACCAAAGCCTGGAGCGGGTGACCTTGCCATCGAGTCTTCAAAGCTTGAGTTTTGGCAATGCGTTCAACCAAAGCCTGGAGCGGGTGACCTTGCCATCGAGTCTTCAAAGCTTGAGTTTTGGCCGTTTTTTCAACCAAAGCCTGGAGCGGGTGACCTTGCCATCGAGTCTTCAAAGCTTGAGTTTTGGCAGGAATTTCAACCAAAGCCTGGAGCGGGTGACCTTGCCATCGAGTCTTCAAAGCTTGAGTTTTGGCTTTGAGTTCGACCAAAGCCTGGAGCGGGTGACCTTGACATCGAGTCTTCAAAGCTTGAGTTTTGGCCTTGAGTTCGACCAAAGCCTGGAGCGGGTGACCTTGCCATCGAGTCTTCAAAGCTTGAGTTTTGGCGATGGGTTCAACCAAAGCCTGGAGCGGGTGACCTTGCCATCGAGTCTTCAAAGCTTGAGTTTTGGCTTTGAGTTCAACCAAAGCCTGGAGCGGGTGACCTTGCCATCGAGTCTTCAAAGCTTGAGTTTTGGCGGGAGTTCAACCAAAGCCTGGAGCGGGTGACCTTGCCATCGAGTCTTCAAAGCTTGAGTTTTGGCGATGTGTTCAACCAAAGCCTGGAGCGGTGACCTTGCCATCGAGTCTTCAAAGCTTGAGTTTTGGCCGTGAGATCAACCAAAGCCTGGAGCGGGTGACCTTGCCATCGAGTCTTCAAAGCTTGAGTTTTGGCAGGAATTTCAACCAAAGCCTGGAGCGGGTGACCTTGCCATCGAAAGCTTGAGTTTTGGCTTCAAAGCTTGAGTTTTGTCGATGGGTTCGACCAAAGCCTGCCTGAGCGGGTGACCTTGCCATCGAGTCTTCAAAGCTTGAGTTTTGGCGATGGGTTCAACCAAAGCCTGGAGCGGGTGACCTTGCCATCGAGTCTTCAAAGCTTGAGTTTTGGCTTTGAGTTCGACCAAAGCCTGGAGCGGGTGACCTTGCCATCGAGTCTTCAAAGCTTGAGTTTTGGCCTTGAGTTCGACCAAAGCCTGGAGCGGGTGACCTTGCCATCGAGTCTTCAAAGCTTGAGTTTTGGCAGTGGGTTCAACCAAAGTCTGGAGCGGGTGACCTTGCCATCGAGTCTTCAAAGCTTGAGTTTTGGCAGGAATTTCAACCAAAGCCTGGAGCGGGTGACCTTGCCATCGAGTCTTCAAAGCTTGAGTTTTGGCGATGGGTTCGACCAAAGCCTGGAGCGGGTGACCTTGCCATCGAGTCTTCAAAGCTTGAGTTTTGGCGATGTGTTCAACCAAAGCCTGGAGCGGGTGACCTTGCCATCGAGTCTTCAAAGCTTGAGTTTTGGCAATGGGTTCAACCAAAGCCTGGAGCGGGTGACCTTGCCATCGAGTCTTCAAAGCCTGAGTTTTGGCTGTGAGGCTGTGAGTTCAACCAAAGCCTGGAGCAGGTGACCTTGCCATCGAGTCTCCAAAGAATCAGTCGTTTTGCTATTATTCATGGTCTCTCACTGCATCAAGAGTTTGGAGGAATTCAGTCAGGCTGTTCTTAGTTTGTTAGACACTCATATTCGCGGAGAGTTTTGCAAATGCAGTTTTCGATGCAAAAGAGGCTTTCTTTTCCAAGGTGTGAGGCTACCCAAAGCAACAGTGACTTTGTTGGTGTCGTCAGTCAGTGAATACCATGAATTATATATATATACACATATATTATCTATTATTATACCTTATACATTTGAGATCTCCATTTGTGGTTGGTTCCCCAAAAAATGGTTGAAGGGAACATCTACAACAAACCCCAATAATGGATGGGAAACACCAGTGTTTTCTGATGTTTTCTGTGAGTGTTCGTTTCATCCAATCCATTAATTGGATTACGGTTGATTAAACTTGATTATTGTCCCATGTTTGACCCTTAATCCACGTTCTTTAACCGCCTTCGGCGTGTTCCGCCGGCAACCATGGAAAGAGCTATCCTGTAGGCTGCAAACAGCCCTTGCACAGGCCCAGCAAGAACATGGTTTTTGTGTTAAAACATTGTGTTTGTGGATAACACAGTTTTTGTGTAAAACAACTTTTTGTGTAAAAGATGGTTTGGACGCAAAAACATTGGTTTTGTTCAAACCACGGTTTTAATTTAAACTAAAGCATGTGTGTAGACCAGGGTTTTTGAAAAGGCCATATTGAGAACGGCTTTGGAAAAGGCCATATTTAGAAAGGTTATGCGTGTAAAAGCAAACCGATGGCAAACACAACAAAAACACGGAACCAACAATCGAAATGACAGGCAGATGTGCAAAACCAAGCTGGTGTTGAGCGAGGCGTGGGCAGAGTCGAGCCCACCACAACGGGGGTGGGTTCAAGTTAGACGAGGCAAACGACCGCGCCAAGGGGAAAGTCTAGACAAGACAAAGACAAAACAGACAGTCCAACTACGAACAAGCAAGATCCACAAGACACGCCGGCAGGCCGGCGAAATCCCAATAAATATTGATGTTTGATGGTTAATCAGTTAATCATGGTTAATCCAGCTATCTTAACCCTCCATTTGCAACTGCCAGGCTCTGCAAGTCTTCACCCACCGTCTTGCGCAGCTTGCCCCCGCCCCGCTGACCCCGTCGTCACATGCAGCGCCGGCAGCGCCGGCAGCGCAGCGTCGGCGCGAGGGGCTGCGCATGCTGCAGCCGGGAGACAAGCCGGAGGTGGGGGACTGGAAGCCGATGTTTGGTGTAACTGGCTTGGGGGATTTTTGTTGGGGGTTTTATAACTGGTTGGGCCAGAATGGGAGGTTCAAATATTGGTTTGAAAAAAGTATACAAAAGGGATGAGTGATTGAGAGGATGCGTTTATTTTTGGGATGGGTTCAAACCACCACCAAGATTAGGATGTATAGTAATTATAGCACCCCCCAGACTGATCTGAAATGATTTGATTAGCAACTTCCAGTCATAAAAAAGTTGGACAATTGGTTCACTTACTTGGTGATGGGAAATATCATTGAACTAGCAGCCTAGAAATACGTGCCTTTGTTGGAGGCCCTATAATAGAGATAAAAACTGGTTCACAATGTCTAGTAGTAATATAGTCAATGTGATGGTACTCATTTAGCTTCAATTTAGCCAACCAAAATTATCTTGTCACAATATGGATATAGGATGATATAGGTATGATTCGGTATGATGGTATGGGCCAGGCTACCGAATGACCTGTGGCCATGGTATGGTTCCTGCGGCTCCCAAACTGATGTTGAATCTTCAACAAGGTCCAACCCTGGGCTCATTCACCGTGGCGCCACGCTCCAGTCCTTCGGCTCGCCTAGGTCGGTAGCATCCTGATTGCCCACCCCATGTCCTGCATCTTCCAGCCGGACTTGGACCGAGCCGTCATCGTGATTGACGAGGTCCACCCCGGCCACGTGCGAGGTGCCGCAAATTGGTGGGACTCTGGGAGGGTGGGAGTTTTGCTATCTAGGTTATAGGGGTTCATAATGGTTCATTGTTGGTTACAAAGTAATTCAATTTGTACCTAACGGTCCTAAAAGTCCCAACTCCCAAACTTATACCATAGACAGTTGATTTCAGAATGTTTTCAAAGAACGATGTCGAACATATGGATTGTTTTTCTGCAGCCGGCTGCAGAGCTGTGACTCGCTGCAGGTTTGGTGCTGAATAAACCTGGCGGCATCTTAATGGAGACGTTGAAACCTGAAGAGCTGGAACGAGCCAAAGAAGCTGGCACGCTGGCAGATTGGGGCCGACGGGGAGAACACTTTTAGGAAAACCTCAATGAGCCATAAGTTTTTGTACATGACATGAAGCATCAGAAATGCCTCAAATCGATTCAAACGGTGGGGGCATGATTTCGGGATGTCTCCTTCAGTTCCGCTGAACTCCTGGAGCTTGGTGATGTCACCTGGTCAACTGAGGTCTCAGTGGACTGTTGCACAACCGCTTGTACCTCGGGGGTGACCTCATGGACGCTGAGGATTTGGTGAATCACGTGCTTCTTGCCATCGGAGATGGAGCTTTGATGGAGGGGTTCAAATTTGCTGATCCTTCCGGGAAAAGATGGTTCCGTACAAACAAGGACTCACATACAAGTGAATTCAGTGAATAATAGCCATACAACAATATCCGATCCAGTATAATTAATTGTATAGTACTGCAATCATCATGATAATGACAAGTACAGCATCTGTAGTAGTAGCAATGATAGTGCGTGCATAGTTTGTTCTCAATATTGTTCATTATATTCAATATATTCAACTAGATCATTAATGAATTATCCTGGAGTAGATAGAATCTGGAGATTTCAAAAAACACAATAAAATGGGAATCTCTACGAAAATGTCATGTTCAAATCTATGTACTCCACGATGACTATACTATAGAGATAGTATTGATAGTCTATAAATTATATGTGGCCAACTATATATATATATAAATACAAAGAGATACGCCCAGCAAATTATATCAAATTGTTTCTTAGATATCTATTTGTATATTCATAGTCCACATAGCAACCAACAATCAATTATATACTGTAAGTTATATAACTATCAATCGTTATTCTTTTGATATAGTCAAGAATAGTGATCTATCATTAACTATATATTACTATATTTTGACACAGTAGTTCATAGACTGTTATAATAATCATTTATCAACAATAACTATTGATAGTCTATATATATAGATATAAGTTATTATAACATGCAAAATTGTATATATATATATATATGTATCATTATTATTATTATTAACTATCATTAATATCTACCATATTGCATATAGCTACATATATATATATATAACTCTCTCTCTTTCTCTCTCTTTCATATTTATATATATATATATACATACCCTAATTGCATGCTTATTAGCTATAAATATCCAACTCCAAACTCCCAGGCGCTGGCTCCACTCCAGCGATCTGCCGGGCGCCCAGCGCCTGGCGCCAGGTCTGCACTGCGGCGGCGAAGGCCTGGCGCAGCTCGGCGCCGCGCGGCCCGTGCTGGGCTTCGCGGGGTGGCACCAGGCCGAAAACGGCCGGGAAATGCTGGGGGAAAACTGGCCAAAACCGTGGAAAAACCATGGAAAAACCACGGATTTCACTGATTTCAGATGATTTTACCAAGAAAAAGGGTGGTTTAGGTAGCAAACGTATGATATACAAGCAGAAGAACTTGGGAATTGACTGATTTATCCATATTTCACCAACCAGAAAAAGAGAATATCATTGGAATTTTGTGTGGGATATACGACCAACTTGATATGAGAGTTGCATAGATTTGCTGAAGTTGGTCTAACGGGGTTTGAACGGTTTGAACCAACACAGAGAAGGATATCATGGGGAAATATGATGGGGATATATATATATATATACACACCAAATATTATATATATATATTATCTGATATGTATTGTACATATCAACCATGTAACTTGATATGATATGATAGTTGGTTTGTTTGAGAATTGGATTTGCCCTCCAAATAGCAATTGATATTTGGGGCCCCCCATGTTCATAATGTCAGTCAAAACCAACAAACATAGTGATTTGGTGTGGACAAAATTGAATTTCCGAAGGATTATTGTTTTTTCTCCCATGAACGTTGGTATTTCAGGGTATAGCCCACTTCTAGACAAGTGCATTTGGGTGAGGTCATTCATAAATGACAATCAATGCAAATGGGACGTTAGCCGACAAAAATCAGCAAGAATGGATGCTTCAGGTCAATCGAATTTGTCATGTTGGTCAAAATGGCCATCAATCAACATCTCAGCGATGGATGTTTCCCAACAAAAACACCTGTTTTTCCTTAATGCATCCATGTGTTTTCCCATGGGTTTCCCTTTTTCTTCGGGTTTTGACGGTAGTTTCCCCATCTTGGAGCGATGACGGAGGATCAGTTGGACCTTGAACTGGAGCGTGGTGTCTGGGTGCATCTTCGGGCGCATAGCGCGGTGGGGCTGCTGCCCAACGATGGAGCCTGGGAAAATGGGGCTGGGCGACATCCCCTCATGAAGTCCATAGCCCTTTTCAGAAAATACATGATGAAACATGCGAAGTATATAATGCTATATACGCTTACTTTGAATGTCTTTTTGGCGGCCTCGTAGTGACCATGTTGATTGTCAGAGCTGGTATTTTCAGGGCTTCCAGGGCTTCTTTAAATTACATCGCGCTGGTCATCAAGAATACCCCGGATGAAACGGCCAATGGATTGATGGGTTCCAGCTACTACTGATCTACTGTTTCTTTTGAACCACCATGTGGTGAGCTGACAGGCAGCCGTCTGGTTGATGCGCTTGTTGAGTGACGTTTAATGTTTGGCTTTGGTTTGTTGTGGTTATGTTGCTGAATCTCAGTAGCGGGAGCGCTTACTGATTGAATTTATCTTACATCTAAGATTTACAGATACCCTGAAAATAGCATTCTTTTAGTGAAAGCTAATCTTGCAACCCCCAAAACATGACACAGTCCCGCAGGCTTTTCTTAGCATTTGCCTTTCAAAAGGTCATCCGCCGTCTCCTGTAACTTTGCAAAACACCGAGGAGACGCTGAAACACTTTGGAACGACTTGGCAGAAGCAGCCGCTTGTTTTGATGGGTGGAGCAAATGCGGAGCCCTTACAAAGCAGGGTTGCTGACTCAGGACAGATGATGGTCAGTATATGTACACGATTGTACACGTATATGATATGAACATATATATATATATATATCTTATAATATATATATATATACATATCTATATATTCATACAAATAGATATATATATAGATACATACGTATACGTATACATACATATACATATACATACCAAGTTGAAGCATTGTGGTGGATAGTTTGAGTCAGCAGACCAATCTCCCATTCATTTGGATGCGTTTGGAGAATTGGTAGAATGAAATTGCAAAGCATCCCCCACCCATAGTCTTAAAACCCTGAGCTACTTCAACTATATATGTCTTGACCAGCAGCAGGCAAGCTCAGATCAGGTTTGGTTTTGTTGAAGAAACTACTTTGGGATGAACAATCATTTCCTCCACCTAAGGATGACTTACCTATACACCCATTGTCCATGACACGTTCCTAGAGGATGTTCAGATATGCCGGGTTGTCCGAAAATGTGGTATAGTTTCCAAATTGTGATTCTAGTGCGGAAAAATGCGGACATCGGTTAAAACCATGATCAACATTCAGAAACCATCATTTTTTTGGCTGGTCTCCCCTATATTTGTCTGCCCCATATGATGACCCACCACTGATCCATCCCAATGGATGGCGGCCTGAGGTCGGCTTGTCCTCCTTCAGCAGCTTCCCTCGAGGTCCCGAGGTTGATCAGTTGATCAAACAACATTTGGACGAGCATTCGCGCTGGCAAATTGCCGCCTGCAACAAACATGGCACTGAACAAGAATGTGGATATCATGGATGACTGATGACTGATGGTTGATTACAAGTGGGAGCAGAAACCAGCTGGTTTCCTGCCGGTTGCGTTGTTTGTATTGTATGTTTCCAAGCCCTAGCTTTGGACACGAGTAAATATTGAACTATATAGAACTTTAGTTGGGGGATTGGATCCCCATCTGACGCGACCCAAAATGAAGTTCCTATTTGGCCCCACAAGGGACACTTTTTAGAAGGCTGGAAGCCAATCTGGATGGCTGGGAAAAGCCATACACGTGGAGTGAACCTATGAGGTCCTTTACGTTACGTTATCATGGTTTGCTGGTATATTTCCTTCAAATAAAACCATTGATAGGCCACAAGGCAGATTGAGGGTTTGCACAGAAACCAAAGAATGGGTACATCATTGGATGGTTAGTTCCAACACTTTACTAAATTCGATGAGGCCTTTGCGGCTGATGCTTCCCCTATGTCTGGGTCGGCTGGACGGTTGCTTGAATTTGTTGAATATATATATATATAATTATATATATAATATATAATATTATATATATATATATGTATAAATGGAGATAATTGGGGGATACATAGTAACCAGCTAGACGCGTATTTTGTTGGCATATCCAAGATTGGTCAGCATGCGTGATTATATGTTTTGCGTGACATGTTAATAGATCATGAACCGCTTGCCCTTACCCTTTTATGGAGGGTTATTCTTGGGTGGAGGGAATTACAGTACCCATATGTTCGTGCTTGAGCCTTCATTTTTTGCTGTTGGACTACCCCATTTGTGTTGGTAAAACTCAATGTGCATCTCTTTACTTAGATATATATATATATATATGTATACATAATATCTTATGATATTATGTATTATAAGATATTATGTATTAATTAATGTATATACATCTTGTTTGCCGCATCATTCTCACTTAAATCCCGATGTTTGTTGATATACCCTACCAGAATCCACTTGCTGGCAAATGATCCATGGCTGAGGAGAGTATCCTAGAGCAAGCGCGCGAAGAAAATCATGCGCATGGATGCGGCTGCTGTTACGGTGATGATGGGCACAAATTTTGTGGACATGTTTTGTTTGAAGTATCTATCGAAGTAGTCATGTAGTAAAACCTCTACAATATCTCAACCTCTACAATACCTCAATTTTAGAGTTAAATGGAGACTAGCAAATCTTGCCAAACTGGTGGATGTGTAAAGATGATCACAACAAAAATCGTATATATATATACATAATTATACATACATTATACTGTATGTGTAATGTTTTATTAGGACTGTGCCAAGTTAAGTATCCAGAGCATGATCCTATAATTCAGTTTGTCGCAAACTTGCCGTCGGTCTTTTTCGATCCAAGTACATTCCACCCAATGTTCAAGGACCTCTTGCTAGCAGACATAATACACGTCTTCCAAAAAAACAACAAATCACCATATTTGGTTGCTTTTGCATCATACTTGTAGAAAATTAATTCATCATCAGCTTCCATATTTATTCCATATATATATATATATCCATATATCATATATCCCATATATCTCATCCCATCCCATCCATCGACCCTTCCAAGGCGCTTCGGGCTTCGCCTGCCGGGATTTCTACGACCTGCTGGCGCCGTTGCTGTTGCAGCGGATGCCGGAGATCCATCCCATCTGTGGGGAGACCGAAGTTGGTGGTTTGGACCATTTTTTATAATATGTATTAATAATAATATATATATATATACATATAAATATGGTATAGACCATCCAGCTATTGGTGTATCTTCATTTATAGACACCTCCCCCCATTCGTATATATCTGGTTGGTGGTTTCAAACAGTTTTTATTTTTCCATATATTGGGAATAATCATCCCCATTGACTAATATTTTTCAGAGGGGTAGGTATACCACCAACCAGCATTTTTATTTCTATGTTTTGGTGGAATATCATAGGGGTAGGTTGAAACCACCAACCAGTAATAATACGTTATGTATATATAGAACTATTATTTAACTATAGTTATTGTTTGCTTGATATGGTAATACATGATAATTGATATTCATGTATATTTACAGCAAGTATTTGTTTATACTACATGCATCTACATGCAAAAATGAGGTGACATGCGAATCGAAATGCTTCGTAGCCGCAGTTGGCGCCTCAGGTTGTGTCTATTTGATGTGGAGCTTCTGCAAGCCACGGGTGATGTGCCAGGCCACCGATTGCGGCGCCTTTAAGTTGGCCCCCAAATGGCTGCTGTTTTTTGGGGAACAGGATGATGAACCAGTAGATTTTTGTGGTATCATGGGGTATCCTTTTTCCCCACCTGCCAGGTGAGGGTTGTTAGATTTTATGTCAGTTGCCTCCTCCTGCCTCCTGCCTCGTCCTCCTCCTCCTCTCCTCCTCGTCCTCCTCGTCCTCCTTGTCATCCTTGTCGTCCTTGTCGTCCTCGTCGTCCTCCTCGCCCTCCTCGTCCTCGTCCAACTGCGACCCGCGATCCACAGTGTTCTCTGCCGGACCTCAACCACGACCATCCACGCCCAGTGTTCCCTGCCGGACCTCAACCACGACCAGCCACGCCCAGTGTTCCCTGCCGGACCTCAACCACAACCAGCCACGCCCAGTGTTCCCTGCCGGACCTCATCTGCGAGTATCCACGCCAAGTGTTCCCTTCCGGACCTCATGTAGGAAGATATGGGACAAAGAATCTGCAGAAGAAAGTTAGAAAGAATGTCAGAAAGAATGTCAGAAGATATGCCAGAAGATATGCCAGATAGAATGCCAAATAGAATGCCAGATAGAATGCCAGATAGAATGCCAGAAGATATGTCAGAATATATGCCAGAAGATATGCCAGATAGATTTGCCAGAAGATATGCCAGAAGATATGCCAGAAGATATGCCAGAAGATATGTCAGAATATATGCCAGAAGATATGTCCAGATAGAATGCCAGATTGAATGCCAGAAGATATGTCAGATAGAGTGCCAGAAGATATGCCAGATAGAATGCCAGAAGATTTGCCAGATAGAATGCCAGAAGATATGCCAGAAGATATGCCAGATCATATGCCAGAAGATATGCCCGATAGAATGCCAAATAGAATGTCAGAAGATATGTCAGATAGAATGCCAGAAGATTTGCCACTAAGAAAATGTATAAATGTCATGGTGGGGATCACACGAAGTAAAGTAATTTTAGACAAAGATTCAGACAAAGCCTAATTCAGCCTAAGTGGTCAGCAGAAACCAAGAATCTGATTCAAGCTGAGTGTACTTAATGGTATCCAAAAATATATCTAGGGTATGCTGTAAAATCTGGTCTATGCAGGGCGGATGACTGAATATCCTACTAGTTATAAGGATTAAGCTTCTAAGCAGAGGTCAGTATACCCCAAAATGGTCAGCACCACACACACCACGTGGCTTTGTCTGAAAATGGATCTGTGATTATATAAAGTATAATATATATATATTATACATGCAGCATATCATATATATATATACACATGTTAAAGTCGTAGAGCAACCACAGTAGTACATTAGCTATAGGGATTTAGCCATCACGCCTGGGGGCGTGTCTCATTTTTAGACGCACATCAAATGTTTTTTGTCGAACAAACAGCAACTGATTCATTGTTATTGGTACACCCAAACAGTGAGAAATTGATACATAGGTTGCGGTGAAAATGGGACCTGCCAAGTGAACTACCTAGAGCTTCTGCTAATTTGAGGTGTGACATCCAAGCAGTTTTGCCCTGCAGTTTTGGGGAGTCCAAAAAAAAAGCCTCAGTAGGACCAACATTTCGTCGAAGGACATTTTCACCAGCATAACCCTCGGTTATCCTATGTTTCTTTACCCTTGTTCAACATCGCCCTGCGTACCCGTAGGATCTGTTTGATGCAGTTGCAGCCCGGGTTATTCCGGAGGTGCCCCGGATGGTGCCAGGAGGTGACCTAGGTCAGAGGTGGTATCACAGGTCAGGCCTCGTTTGGAAGGCATCCAAAACAAAGACCTGGGATCACTTGGGTCTGTCAGTCTGGAAAAAGAGGACAACCTTAGAGTTGATGGTGTAGTGTTAACCATTGATTCACTGTATTTTTTTGTGTATCTGTATTTGTTGTTAATCATTGATTCATCACATGGTTTTTCCCATTTGAATTGCTGAAACTGCGGGGGTGTACCCCCATGCCCATCCGGACCCATCAGGTACAATCCTTAGATCGATGTGGCCTGGCCATGTTCAGCTGGAACTATTCCTACATCAACTACGAGCTCAAGGAGGCTGGGAGGATGACGATGGCAGCAAGGACGAGTTATGACGTGTTTATGACTCCAAAATTTGATCACACCAAAGTGTATCCATAGTCAGGATTTTCACCCAATTTTCTTCAATTTTGGTGAAACCAAGTGAGCCAGTGGGCCCAGCCTGGCTTGATCCATCAACGCTCCAGGTCTACAAGGTGTCAGCGGCTGAAGCGCTGCGCACTGAACGATTGGAGGTGGCCATCTCGGTGGGTAAAATTGTAAGGACCTCAATGTTCTCCCGAACCCTGGAATGATGGTGTTAGTATAACATAGTATAACTATCCATAACTATACGAAATAGCCGAACAGTTCAGGTGAAATATTGCAACCCAGATGAGTGCCATCCAACCAGAAAATCTACAACATCTACAAAACATCCACAAGTGGCAGCTAATAATGAGAGTTTGTTGGAAAACCTACCTTTCAGCCGTTTGGAGATGATTGGCTCAATGACTCGACCCAAATGTAGTGAAAGGTTGGCTATACAATCACGCTACATAAACTGATATAATAATACATACATAATACACAGCACATATTCACATCTATTATTGATATTTGTAATTATCACATAGTTCTATATCATTTTATATGTTTTCTACCTATATTCACATATGTCGACATACCATTTTGTAATGTTCTATCTATATTTACATGTATATATATATATAATTATATATATATATATAATTATAAATATATATATATATCCATATCTATGATGTCCTTTAACCAAAAAAAACATCTCATCCCCCCGGCAAATCCCAGGAGCTCACGCCCCGCGACCTGGCCAACTTGATGGGAGCCTTTGCCAAGGTGCTTCCAGTCTGGTTCCAGTGGGTTGATCTCCGGTTGGAAGTCCATCATAGGAAAATGATAGGAAAAAATATGGGATTCCATAGGAAGAATGTAGGAAAAAATCATAATCCAAGGATGTATATAGATGACGAATCATAAGAAACACCATAGGAAAATGATAGGAACAATGGGATTCCATAGGAAGATGATGGGAAAACAGTAACAGGATAAGGTAAACCAATGGGAAAACACAAATTGACTGTTGTAACCTGATTGTTAAGGGGATTAGAATGACTAGATGGTCAACATGTGTCAACATTAGATTCATAACTATTCATAACTCATGAGAATCTAGGGCTCATATTATTAATTCCTTTGACTAATGGGAACACCACCCCTTTTTGTTTCGTAGGAATTGTAATAATTGCCAACTGGTGGATTTCGCAACAGCATGAGTTTGTTCATGCGCAATGTGATGTCCAATCATGGGATATCCCATGGATATCAGGACTGATATTGGGATTACTTGGGACTTATGAACTTGATCCAAGTAATATTAATTGGGACATAATGTTACTTATTACCTGACAGAGGACTTATGAAACTTATTAATTGGGATTTAATGGTATGTAATTGAACTAATTGATCAGCATTGATCATCAGTATGATATTCTAGATAATTTTAGTATGTCTGAAAATGGGATACCCCCAAGTTATGGCATTTTAACGGATAACGTCATGATGAACCATAGGATGGAATGGGGTACCCCATTTTCAGGAAAAAAACAAATCCCTAATTGTTTCAATTGCCCCTACATGTGGTGCTGAAACCATCTAAAACCCTTGGTTCCCGTTATACATGTTTCCCTGAAATGGGGATGGATCAAAACCTATGAAGCACCATACTTGGGGGTCCCTCCCAGGGATGAGTTCATCCATCCCGGCGATTTTTAAATTGGGGTGAACAGAAGGGTACCATGTTTTTTGACCCGTACACATTGACCCAAGACATGGTCACACGCCACCGGGTCAACCAAACCACTGACTGTGATTGTGAACTTGGCGGACCACAGACAATAGAGCATATTTCTTGGAACTGTACTCATCATATCATTAAAAGACAACCCATCCATCATTTGTTGAAACGAATTCAAAAATCCAAACCCTGCTTTCAATATGCCACTATTTTGACTCCAGCCGATTTCGACCTTTCTGAGCATTTGACACTCATACAATCCACCATCATTGACATTTGGCAAGACACTATCCGCATGTACCTTCAAGGGGAACAGCCACTTGATTCAGCTATCGACCCTACCAGTTCATCTTCCCAAACACCTTCACACAATCGGTCAGTTTCCGAGGGTCTCCATGAGAACGGTCATTATATTGTTGGCATTCCCGGCGGCGATGGTATTTATTGCAGAAAATGTGGAAAACATGTCACAGAAGTTCGCCACCGCCGACTAAAAATCTCGAAAACAAAATGTACTCAGGCCAATCTACCTGAAACCCAATGGCTAGATCGACCTGGCTTTTCAGACAATCCCCGTCGCCTTCTTGGACTTTTCACGGACATGGCGCAATTTTGCCATAACCATAAGCTTGCTTGGAATGGCACAGTTAATCGAAAAGGGCCTTCAGCCATAGGCCGCATTCAGTGTTTGAAATGTTGCAAATCATGGCCTTGGGATAGCCGACATAACATGCAGAGGGCGGATTGCCCTACTACTGATGGAATGCATTTGCCGGCAAATTGGATATCACTGGAATTTGCACTTTCTCATCCTGATGATGCAGTGTTTTTTCTTTCACAACTACACGGAGCCACTAGCAATGTTTCTGCAGCCGCTTCTTCGTCCACGTCGACTTCTAATGCGTCATCGGCATCATCCAGCAACATTGACACTTCCAGCACTCCAGTTGTCAGATTCCGTTTGCGGCAAAAGACCCGAATCACTCCGATACCAGCTCTTCAGATATCATCATCCACAACCAATTCTCTTTCGGTAGCTGATAGCGCTATCGCTACAGAGCATGAATCAGCCTTCATCCCGGCTGTTGGCTCTTTTTCGCATTTTGATGATATGGGATGAATATCCCTTTGTTTGGGGCATGACTGCTGTGGCGTCACTGTCCCTGACAAGACAAAGTTTTTTGACCCGTACACATTTGTAAGCATTGAACAGCATTGAACTATCCAGTCATCTCATGGCAGTACGCTTTTTCCAAGCTGCAACTCTCAACTCAGACGTGGCTAGCTGGAAGATACCCGAGCCATGGAAGCTTTAGAGCTATCAAAATGGACCGAAATGGGTGATGTTGCACGCCATGTGGGATTTCCAGGTAAATATCCCATAGTATCCTAGTTATATGTTTATATCCCATTCTATCATAATATATCCCATAGAATTTTCATTATATCCTTCCAACAGCAAGACCTGGTGGCCCTGTCAGGCAGGAATCCGCGACTTGGACCTGATGCAGGCTCTGTCGGAGCATGGTTCGGCATCTCAGGTGTCTCCCGATGTCACCAGAAAGAGCCTGAGATACCCTCAGAATCCTCCCATAGGATATCATTCATCTGGGTAAATTATGACGACCTCACTACGACCGAACCCTGGAATCATGGTTAGTAAGGGGAATCATCCCCAAATAGCTTTATTTCAGGTCAGTGAAATACCGTAATTTACTCAGATTCATAGGTAATCATAATATGATGATATGTGGGAATGTGGGAAAGAGCCAGTACAGTAGGTGAAAGGTGTGCCTGTTGCGTAAAAATCCTTTAAGCTGCGGGGAGGATTTCACAAAAGGCGTGCGTGCAGCCGGAGTTCCTCAGGGACAAAAATGTTAGGCTTCCAAGGCCCAATTCATGGCCTTGTACAGCTGAGCAACCTGGGAATGGCCTTGCGTGGATCCAGAAAAGTACCCCATTAGAATATATAAGATGACATCATGTAATGGAATGTTAATGTTGTGAAATAAAACATTATATTATAGTGTATGATGTGATATTATATATGATATAACTTAATATAATATAATATAATATATTATAATATAATATAATATATTTATAATATATATATATATATAATAGAATATAATATAAATGTAATATAATGTGAAATGACATCATATGCTACGCATTTTTTCCACAGAGTTCTTTTTCACAGCCCAAGACACCTCACCGAGGATGTGGACTCCTGAGGCTTGTTGGATGATCCCTGTGGGACATGGAAAGATCCACCCCATTTTTAACGGCTTAAAATCTATTTCTATGAGCCATGGCTTCCATGGCTATGTTAAATAACAAGGGGGTAACATAAGTGGCTAAGTATGATGTGTATATACTGTATGTATTACTGTATGTATCTGTATATACTGTAATGTATATACTGTATGTGTATGTCACTTTTGCAGGAATGCAATTCATAGTGAGTGACAAGTCCTCTGGTGTCCACAGCTTTGCGGCAGTCTTTGAGTAGCACAGAAGCTTCGCGGCTCGACTGGCATTTTAGGTTAATCCACACGTTTCCCTGAAAGATCTGAAAGCCAAACTGCAACTTCCATGGATTTCCATGTTGTTTTTCTTGTTTTTTGGAGCATGGCCACTATCCGGGATATCACTTCAGGGCCACATCCTGCGACAGGGATGGCATAGATCAGAAATGCTACAAGCGCCCGATGAAGTCCTTAGCCCGCGAGATCTATGCACCTCGGATGGGGAGTAGCGCTGATGTTTGGTGGTCTATACTGGATCTACCCAACCTGGTTATGACTAACATAGCCATGGTCCATGGTATAGATGGCCCATAGAAATAGAGGTTTACCCGTTAAAAATGGGTGGATCTTTCCATGGCTATGTCAAATAACCAGATGGTACTGAAACTGGATGCAACTTGAAATACTACAGCGGATGGTTGCGAAACCCTGCGCCAGTTGATAGATGGTTTATCCATGTTTATCCCATTATTTATAGGGTCTCAACCATCTAAGGTGGTGCAGGATTTCTTCCATCCACAGTAGCAATACTATGGTATGTAGGAAATGGAATCTCCAGACCATATTTTCTTTTGTGTTTGCAACCACAGTTGGGATGCAGTTCGGCCTGAGCTGGACTCGGTGGTTTGTTGTGGCAAATATTGACGGTCTAACAGTACTAATACACTCCTTGCATCCCCTTGCCATATCTTTGAGGTATTGTATACACCACCCAGGTAGAAACCATGGATGTGTCGCCCATTTGTCGCCCACATGACTCCAGGAAGAGGATTTCAGCGCTGTTGACGGACAAGTAGATGCTTTCGATATGGTTGGAGACCAAGTTGTATTAAGGATATCCAATGATCATGACGCATTGACGGCAGGTTGTTTTTCTGGATGACTAATGAAAGATGTAGATGCTGGGTGTTCTTTATGACTGAGGCCGTTGAGGTACCCGGGTCTTATTGGGATTAACAGCTCTCAGCATGTTGGGATTGAAAGAAATGAAATGCAACCCTTGTGATTGTTTGGTTTTGAATCAGAGCCAGCTGGGAAAAGATCGGTCAAAACATATTGTAGGCTGTTGTAGGACGATAGTCGACATTCACCTGTGGGTATTAAAAAAAAAAACTATACCAAGTTTGCCATAACATTCTTGGAGGGAAAAACTCTACCAGTCAGCTTGATGCAAGCAGAAGGGTACCAGGTCCTAACCAATAGCCGCACCAGATCCCGGGGTCGCCATAGGTGTCTTTGTCCGAGATGTGCGAGACCCAGCCGCCGATACTGGATTTTTGGGACCCGGATGAATCATTCGGGGCTCAACGGGGAAAGACTAACAAAAGAACTTACCCTCAGTAACATAGACCCTGCCAAAGGGGCTTGGAAGATTAAGGAAACAATCTTCAGTGTCTATGTTATGTAATTGACTGGAAGGTAAATCAAATTTGAAACCAACCTCAGATCTTTGGTGATTACATGATAGAAACAAGTATTTGTTTTAATCCCAGGTTTGGGTTTGACATGTTTACCTATGAAATCGATAAAGGCTGGCAAATGAAGCTCAATGAGGACAATGATGAATCAATCTATTTGTCATTGAGCAGAACAACAAATATCAGAAAGTGACACAAACGCCTGTCACAACAACTATGGGTCTGCCTAAAAAAAAGGTATACCCAGCCCCCCCAATCCCAAAAGATTCTTAAATTAAAATTAATGATTAATTAATGATCATCATATATCATCATTGTTTCCACATATTTTCCCACGTAAAATGGCATTGTTTTGGAGCCCCAGCCCATGTTGGGACCAAGCTGTGCCACACCACGTGGCCGAGGCTGGGCTCCTTCGCTGATCAGCAGTTCCTGCACCGAGATTTTCTGGAACTGGCTGATGAATACATGATGAAGGCGGCCCTACTGGGCGATGCCTGGATGCTTTCACTCCTACATGGGAGATTCTCGGGGTCAGACTGTTGGTTGGGACGGTCAAACGATATCCCGTTACATCAACTTATTGCTAATGATGTCCAAACTACATTATAACGCATGATATAAATTGTCCGTTCTATCCAAGCTAATATCCCTATTCTAACAAATATATATATATATATACATTATATGATAATTCTACGTTTCAGCCATCCATTCTTGTGGTCAACAAACATTGGCAGTAACACATTTTCCGCGCCATTGGCCAGGGCTTTGATCAGCCCAAGAGGGACGTCGAGACCTTTCTGCGCTTTCCCCAGGCGCGACCCTGCCAACCGTTGTTGGATTTTCATAGTGCCTATGGGATTTCTATGGATCTATGATAGTTTATGGCATATCATATATATATATATATATTTATGTGGTTGGTGGTTTGGAACATTTGGATTATTGTTCCATATATTGGGAATAATCATCCCAACTGACTACTATTTTTCAGAGGGGTACGTATACCACCAACCAGAGATGATGCTGGCAGCTGACAGTTGATGATCTCATGAAGCAAGTAACCAGAGACAAAGAGACCTTACAAAAAAGGGCTGCCTTCCACTTAGCTAGCGCTTTTCTGGTTGGTTCCCTGCAGGATTCGTTGTTTTGGGTGTGCTTTCATATTTTTCAGGTGGGTATTTGTTTAACCGAGTTTGAAACGCTGGAGACTCTAAAGGCATTTTTTTTTCATTTTTAGTTGTTTTTTTTTAGTTTTTAGTTTTTTTTCCCTCTGTTATACTTGCGTTTTTGCTGGTAAGGCAATGTTTCCCCAAATTCAAGCTGATGACCGCTATTAACTCAATAGCCCAGGATCAGCAATTTCCTGCCTAAACGCTCATTCCTTAACTTCTCCACTTGTGGCAATTAGTTAATTTTTGTTTTGCCTAAAATAGTTAATTCTGCTACCTGTACAATTACCGCGCCTGATCAAACCTTTGCTTCTTTGAATTTTATATAGGTTGAACTCCAAAATTGCATGACAACTTTCAATCTCCTTTTTAATTTTGCATGCAAGCTTTCAACCCCCCTGGGCATGCATTTGCATGAACATTTTCAACCCACCTGGCAAATCTAGGCCAGAACTTTAACCCCCCAACTGTGCTGTGCAAACGCTGCGGAAGTTAACTTTCAGACCTGATCCCAGGTTTGCACGCGAGCTTGCAACCCCTCCCCAGAAATTTGCACTCAAACTTTCAACCGCCCCTCATAAGTTTGCATGCAAACTTTCACACCTGCTACTTCCACTCCCCCCTCGCAAGTTAACATGCAACCTTATCAACCTTGCAACCCCCCTTCGGAAGTTTGCATGCAAACTTTCATTGCCAATCTGTCGAATTAGCTGAAAAATCTGAAAAAGGCAGAGAGTCAGTTAACAACGTTTTTGTCGCTGCGGAGAATTTTTGGTGGTCTTATCTTTCTCGTTTCTGAGTGAATTTGGGTTTTGCGTACGAAAACTATTTCTGCTACCAGCCGTACTTGAATCTAAATGCCGAGTAACTTGAACTCTAAGTTTGCATGCAAATTTTCGACCCTCCTCGCAAGTTTGCTTGCATACTTCCAACCCACCTGGCAAATTCGCAAGTAAACTTTCAACCCGCGACTGTGCTTTGCAAACGCGCAAATTTGCAAGCAAATCTTCAGGCCTGCTCGCAAGTTTGCGCCCCCCCGAAAGCTTGCACTCAAACTTTCAACCCCTCCTCGCAAGTTTGCATGCAAACTTTCACAGCTAACGTCTCGAATTACCGGAACATTTTTTTAACAACCAAAGAGCAATTGTATAAAAAAGAGCCGTTACCTGACCAAATTTGTCTGTGTCGCCAGTTTCGGAATCAGTTACGGTATAAACTATATATTCGGCTGGAATTGGCCTAACCTGGTCTTTCGGGGTCCGTTTGGCCGGACAGCATTACCCTGTATAGGCTTGAAATCTTGAAGATATCGGACAAGGCCTTCATGATAGTTTAGAGGGGCCAGTGACATGGAGCAAAGCCAGCTGGACATTTTATGAATGCATGCCCAACGGCTGCTGTCGGAGCGCTTCATCGGCAGTAGCTTCTACCATAATACTGCTTCGTCTTTGCGCCAAATTTGTCTCTGTGTCCATCTTTTCATCTTCCTCTTCCATGCCTGCCATCATTGCTAGGGGCTGGCACCTGCTTCCACGATCCAGCCTTCAAATGATTAATTTGAAGACTGAACCGGGCAAGCGAGAGTGAGTGTGATGCAGGTGATTTATCAGTTGACGAAGGTATGTAAATGACTGATTTTTTGTGAATGCTGCTTCATAGCTGAGCTTGGATTTTGATGGCTTTTTTCCCCACCTGCCAGGTGAGGGTTGTTAGATTTTATCACAGTTGTTTTCCTCCTCCTTCTTCTCCTCCTCCTCTGCCTCCTCCTCCTCGTGCTCCACCTTCTTCTCCACCACCTCTGCATCCACTTCCATGTCCACTTTCGCCTTGCCAACTCTTCGCCAACTTCCGCGCGCAGTGTGCACTGCTGGACCTCAACTGCCGGCCTCTGATCTGAGTGGGCACGGCTGGACCTCAACCGCAAGGTTCTGAGCGCAGTGGGCACCGCTGGACCTCAACCAGGGACATTCCGAGCCCAGTGGGCACCTGGGACCTTCAGAGCTCAGTGCGCACCACTGGACCTCAACCTGGGACCTTCCTCAGTGGGCACTGCTGCACCTCAACGGCCAGATAGAATGCCAGAAGATATGCCAGATGGAATGCCAGACGATATGCCAGATAAATGCCAGAAGGTATGCCAGATAGAATGTCAGATAGAGTGCCAGATAAAGTGCCAGAATGTTTGCCAGATAGAACGCCAGAAGATTTGCCAGATACAATACCAGATAGAATGTCAGAAGATATGCGGATATGCCAGAAGATATGCCAGATAGAATGCCAAAAGATATGCCAGATAAAATGCCAGAAGATATGCCAGATAGAATGCCAGAAGGTATGCCAGATAGAATGTCAGATAGAATGCCAGAAGGTATGCCAGATAAAGTGCCAGAATGTTTGCCAGAAAGACTGCCAGAAAGAATGACAGAAGATTTGCCAGATAGAATGCCAGTTAGACTGTCAGAAGATATGCCAGAAGATATGCCAGATAGCGTGGCAGAAGATATGCCAGAACATATTGCAGAAGATATGCCAGGTAGAATGCCAGAAGATATGCCAGATAGAATGGCAGAAGATATGCCAGATAAAATGCCAGAAGATATGTCAGATAGAATGCCAGAAGATTTGCCAGTAACAAAACGTATAAATGTCATGGTGGGGAAGTAAAGTAATTGTAAGCACTCGGCTGTGGACATGAAGGAATTGCTTGTATTTGCGTGGTTCAACCTACTCGATCCATGAGTATAGGCTTTGAACATCTCGGACAGAAGGGAAGAACATGTGAGAACATGTCAAGAGACTTGATTTACTGCGGGAAAAAGCACGTTTAGTCCAGTGGGGCCTAGAGGAGACAGCATGGGAAAGAGAAAGGTAAATCAAAACCAATTACCAAAAACAAGGTGAAACCCCAGATCTTGACTAACGGGGGGGGCGGAAATCCTGCCCCCCCAGATCGTCTAGTTACAGACGTTACTTGACCATCTCACCATGCTAACCCCAAAACTTGACCAACGGGGGGGGCAGGAATCCTGCACCCCTAGATCGTCAAGTTTAGCTGATCTACCATAGAGATCGTCTAGTTTCAGACGTTACTTGACCAACGGGGGGAGCGGAAATCTTGCACCCCCAGATCGTCAAGTTTTGCAGATATAAGGAAGCTGACCACCCTCTTCCCAGACCCTGCGGCCCGCCCTTCCTCCACATCTTCGGAATGTGAGACAGCAAGCCCGCTTGGGAATAAGCGACAGTGATCGTGTCTGCCCACCGTTGTGGCTGACCAGCCTTCTAACCTGCCCACTTTCAGCAAATTGCCTTTTTCTGCAACCTGTTAACCTGTTGATGAAATTTGGCTTGTCAACCTGGCACCGCTTCAATATAGCTGGATGCCGCTCAGGTCCCTCCATGTTAGCGTGCTTTTATTCTTCGCACGCGCTCTTCGCATGCTGGAACAAATCGACAGTGGATCGGCAACGATGTCTTCTTTTACAAAATCTTTTTTGAGATCAGGGCCAGTCGGTTCACACAACACTTGTCAAGGGCCTTTTCACGACCCCTTCTTCCATGTCCTTACAGCTCTAGCGCTTCCACAGCTTTGCCACCGTGCGTTCTAAGCCCCATGGGCGGCCACATCGGTGAGGACATTGACTGTGACCGGAGCAGGATCCCCCAACATTGCTCGCCTTGCACCGGCCAGAGGTGCTTTTAAAAGCGCTTGGAAGCCACTTTTCACGGTTTGACCACAAATCATGCAGGTGAGCACATGAACCTTGGAGGTGGCATGGAAATAACTGGACCTGTGCTGTTTGCTGCTCAGCCGCCGCTCTGGTGTGCTGGGTGCGAGCCAGTAGCAGCAGAAGCAGAAGCAGCTCCAGTAGCAGCCGGTGCTGATGATCCTGGAGTATCCGGGCACATAAACCCCGCATGGATTGATCAAGGTCCTGCACGCGCTGCCGGCACTGCGAGCAGCAGACTTATCTTTTGCAGTCTTGCTCCCGGCCTTTGGTGCCATGTCATGGACTTTAGCCCAAGTTCATGCCATTGTGGTTTCGTGTGTGTTGTTTTTTCTGTGCAAGTGCGTAAGAGTGTGTATGTGTATGTGCGCGCGTATGTGAATGCTTTTACGTGTGCATGTGCCTCTGTGGTGATTATTTGGTATTTTTGCCATCTAAGGACAAAACGGCGGCGGAGATCGAACAGTGGGTTTTAATTGAGTTTAGGCCTTGTCCAAATGATAAGGCTGGCTGCCCTGACATCCCACCTGATGACACAGATACTACTGAAGATGGTTTAACATGTTTTTTAAAGGTAGCTCTTTGGTTTTTAAGGTGCTTTTTGAGCTCATTCCGCACAAGGCAGTGAAAGTTTGCATGCAAACTTCCAAGAGGTTGCGTGCAAACTTGCGAGGGGGGATTGGAAGTTTGCATGCAAACTTTTGCCCGCAGGCATGCAAGTTTGCATGCAAACTTGCGAGGGGCGGTTGCAAGTTTGAGTGCAAACTTTCGGGGGTAGGGCTGCAAGCTCGCGTGCAAACTGGGGATCAGGCCTGAAAGTTAGCTTGCAAACTTCCCCAGCATTTACACTGCACAGTTGGTAGTTTAAAGTTCCGGTCCAATTTTGCCAGGTGGGTTGAAAATTTGCATGCAGATGCACGCCCATGCAGGGGGTTGAAGGTTTGCATGCAAAATTACGAGGGAGGTTGAAAGTGTTCA